GTCTGAAAAAGCCTGCAATCAATTCTCATTAAATTATGACAATAAGTTAATAACAGCAACAAAAGATATAGGTCATATTTTCCAAGATTTTTTTGCTAATATTCCGATTGATATTCTTCTCTAGACTCATCTCCAATTCGAGCAAAGACATTACTGGAGGCTAATGTCAGCCCTTCTCATATAATAAAAATATTCAAACAGTTAAAATTAAAAAATATGGAAGACCTCTGGGGCATGTCAGTTAAAGTAGTTAGTTCATTCATAGATATTGTTGCTCCTTATCAAGCTACTATTTTCAATAAATGTGTTGACAATGGCGTGTTTCCTCAATTAATGAAATTTAGCAAATTAATTCCACTCTTTAAATCTGGAGATAGATTTGAGCTAGGCAACTATAGACCAATTTCTATTTTGCCAGTTCTAAGTAAAGTATTTGAAAAGATTATGTTTAACCAAATGTTAAAATACTTCAGGGATAACGGACTGCTTCACAGTCACGATATGGTTTCACTGCCGGTAAGTCTACTACTGATAAAGGTGTAGCGCTTATTACACATATATTCAAATCATGGGAGAACTCACAGGATGCTCTCGGCGTTTTTTGTGACTTATCGAAGGCGTTTGATTGTGTAGATCATGAAACACTTTTGTATAAGCTCAAACATTATGGTATTAGAGATAATGACCTAAGTCTAATGAAAACTTATCTAGAGGACAGGGTGCAAACTGTAGATATTGATGGTGTAAAGTCTAAGGGAACTAATATAAAAATGGGCGTTCCTCAAGGTTCAATCTTAGGGCCATTTCTCTTTTTAATTTATATAAATGACCTTCCCTACATGGTAGAGAAAGTTGCAGATATAGTGTTATTTGCGGATGATACTTCGTTAGTGTTTAAAATTGGTCGCCAATGTAATCATTTAGACGATGTAAATTATGCTATCTCTGCTATATTAAATTGGTTCACATGTAATAATCTATTATTAAACTCCAACAAAACTAAGTGTATTAAATTCACGCTTCCTAATGTAAGACAAGTAAATACGCAGCTATTGCTTAATGATGAAATAGTAAATTTTGTTAATGATACAGTTTTTTTACGAATAACAGTGGACTCGAAGTTACAATGGGGGCCCCATATTTCAAAATTAGGCAGTAGACTTAGTTCTGCTGATTATGCAATTAGAAGGATAAGGCAATTAACAGACGTGGCGACGGCAAAACTTGTATATTTTAGTTATTTCCATAGCATTATGTCATATGGCATACTGCTGTGGGGTAAAGCTGCCGATGTAAATACTATATTTATTTTACAAAAGAGAGCCATACGTTCTATTTATGGTATGGGTTCTAGAGAGTCATTACGTCAATGCTTTAAACAATCAAATATCCTCACGGTTAACTTAACTCAAAAACTTAGATAGTTTCAAGAAACTTAAAGACTGTACAAGTAGAAACTTACGCAATAAAAATATGTTAATTTTACCTAAATGCCGTCTACACAAAGTTAGTAATTCATTTTATGGTAATTGCGTAAGATTCTATAATAAACTGCCAGAATCTACGCTAAATCTGACAGAGAGGCAATTCAAACTTTATATAAAACAAATGTTATGTAAAAAAGCATATTATAGGATAGATGAATTTATAGATGATAGCAATATATAGCAAGTATAAGTTTATTTGCGGACAACGTTATAATTTATTTTTCATACTGCTTTCTTGATATATGATAGCGTAGCGGCTTTTGTATTGATTGTCGCATGCATCCTCATGTAAAGTGCGAATACTGTAACTACCATATAGTAATTTTTGTAGCTGTGACGTGGTCCAGTGGAATGAGTAGTCATGCTCACTAAAATGTCCAAACATGTGGCGGCGTGGTGGGCCGGGTCATTGGGCTCCCTAAAATATGGTCGAGCGCAGTGATGGCTAGCTCATCCGTCATACTCGTTAACGAGTGCTGCTTGTAGGGACTGGTCTGCTCTTATCACTACGACTGATTTAATCTTATTGTGTTTTTATATTTGAGCCTAAATAGATTAGTGCTGGTTGGTAGTTTGTATTCACACGTTTCGACTTGTAAAATGTGAACTTACAAGGATTGTTTAAAAGAGCAACACACAAGTTTCTTGCTTATTCTTCTTGTGATGAGACAGCTTTCCGAATAAGCGGTAGATTTAAAAAAATGTTGACTATTCAAAAGTGCTTAAATTAAGTTTATTTGAATAAATGATTTTCTATTCTATTCTTATAATCCTTTTTCACATTACAAAATAATTTTGTCCTTTCTCAGGGTCTAGATTATCTGCGTACCAAATTTAATTTAAATCGGTTCAGTCGTTTTGGCGTGTAAGCGAGACAAACAGACAGACAGAGTTACTTTCACATTTATAGAAGAACCTAACCCAAAGAAGATAAAGAAAAAAGTGTATTCGTTCTAGCTTCAAAAATGACGAATTTCCATAAAAACTTTCATCACCTATTTTATTTTATCCCCTTAAGGGTATTTTTTTTACAAACTTTGAATATCATATTTATTTTTAGGTAATTAACAACCTCAAAAATAAGTTTCAAGCTGCTAGGTTCAAAAACTACGAATTTACATAAAAACTTTTATCCCCTATTTTATTTCACCCCCTTAAGGGTATTTTTCTTACAAACTTTAAATGTCATATTTAATTATCTAGACACGCGGTAGCGTGTCAAACCGAGTTTCAAGTAAACTGGCGAGCAGCACCGTGTGTATATTTACACGAACCATTTGGAGCCACTTTTGACCCCCTCATAACTCAAAAACTCTTTCACATAAACCTGTCAAATTTGGTTCATATATTGAGACTTGCGAGATAAATATGTATTCCAAATTTCATAAACATATCTCAAACGGTTATTTAGATATTAATGTCCAAAAATCGTCATTTTTATCACTGATCAACTATAGATCAAAATTATAACCCACTTCCAGACTGTAGCCTAAGGTCTAACTTGGCCAGTTCTCATATACCAATTATTACTTTCGATTGCTAGTTACTACTAATATTAAAATAGGAACCGACAAGTAACATGTTTAGAACTTGCGAAGGCTACAGTATATTTCGTATATGAAAACTAGCCAAGTTAGACCTTAGGCTACAGTATATTATCCTAAATTATAAGAAGAAATGATATTTTATATTGTTATAAATACATTTCAGGACAGACCATTGAACTTGGTACCCATTTAGATCTCATCTCTTTTGTCGTAGAAGTCAACAATCAAGGCATATATCATAATATTAAACTCGGCTATCATTTCACATTTATGTTTTTTAGTGGGATAGTTAATTAACAGCCTCAAAATTAAATTTCAAGCGTCTAGCTTCAAAAATGACGATTCTTCCATACAATCTTTCATTTCCGCTTTCAAGCCCTTGCTACTCTTTTTTCGCATTAAAAAGTAGCCATGTAAAGGACATGGCTACTTTTTAACCGTTTTTTACTGCACGCATATGAACATAAATACAATACATACACCAAAAAGCCAATTTTTAAAATTTTTGTCTGTCTGTCGGTCTGTTTGTTCCGGCTAACCTCTGAAATGGCTGGACCGATTTTAACGGGACTTTTTTGACAGGTAGCTGGTGTAATAGGGAGTAACTTAGGCTACTTTTATTTTAGAAAAAATCTTTTATCTTATATAAAAATAAAGTAATGTTGTAAGTAATACCGCGCGCTCAGGCGCATGCAACGTTACGTCGGGCGCCTCTCGCTACTTCTCCCACCAACGAATCAATATCACGAAGGCGCTGAGCGGACTGTAGTTGATGGTTGTCTCGACGACTTTATTTAAAAATTGATTTCTAGTTCTTATGTCATACTTTTGATAGACAGGTATATTTTATAATTGCACCGATCCGTTCTTCTTATCTTTTCTTATCTTAATTCAAAATATTTTGTTACATTTTTATTGCTTTCCTTTTTTTCCTTCAAGTAATTAGGTATTATAAATTAGGTACATTTGTGTTCAATATTCAGATTTACATTGAAATTTGTAAATTATTTATAGGTAATTTTATTTAGTTAGTAATGTAAATAGTTGTTTTTTCCTAAAATAAATATTTTTAAATCATATTTTTCGTTTTTTAAATTAAAAAATTTAACTTAAAAAATATAAATAAAATCGGAGTGTCTGTTTGTAATCCTTATTAATATTAAAAATGCGAAAGTAACTCTGTCTATCTGTCTCTCTTTCACGGAAAAACTACTGAACAGATTTAAATGAAGTTTGGGACACAGATAGACGAGACCTTGAGAAAGGACGTAGGTTAGGCACTTTTTAATGTGAAAAAGGGTTGAAGGGGGTTGAAAAGGTAGGTGTAAGGTTGTATGGATGTATCGTCATCTATACATATAAATAGAATTGAATATTGAAAATTTGTAATATTGAAATAACTATTTTTTACTACGTATGTAGCGTATTTATATTCATATGCATATATACACCAACATAACATTTTTTCAAATTGTTGTCAGACTGTCTGTTTGTTCCTAATCTCTGAAATGGCTGGGCCGATTTTGAGGGGATTTTTTTAGCAGGTAGCTAATGTAATAAGGTGTAACTTAGGCTACTTTTATCATAGAAAAATTATTTTATTTTAGAAAAATAAAGTATAATTCCACGTGGACGAAGTCGCGGGTACATCTATCTATACATATAAATAGAATTGGAGTGTCTGTTTGTAATATTGAAATAACCGTTTTTAACTACATGCATATGAATATAAATACGGTACATGCACCAAAATAAAGATTTTTACAAATTTTATCTGTTTGTCTGTCTGTCTGTTTGTTCCGGCTAATCTCTTAAATGGCTGGGCCAATTTTGACGGGACTTTTTTTTGGCAGGTAGCTGATGTAATAAGGAGTAACTTAGGCTTTTATTTTAGAAATATGAAGTATAATTCCACGCGGACGAAGTCGCGGGAACAGCTAGTTATAAATAAACAAACTATTATATTAATATAGAAAAAGCAAATTGTATCTATATCTATCATCTATATATCTATACATTAATAATATCGTATTATTTGTATACATAAAATATATATAGGTATTATATTTATGTACAAGTATATGTATATATTTTATGTGAGAAGACCAATAACATCGAAATTTGGTAAGTGAGGAATCACATTCCTGAAATCAGCGACTGTACAGCAGAAGCTGTATCCTAACTCGATGCGGTCTGGCTGCCATTCTAGCCATTTGAAGGCGTCGTTATTTCGACACCTGTCCGTGCAGAATGTTAGGACTCGCACTTCAGCTTCAGTATAATAAGGATTGTTGATGCTTATGAAGGCTGTTCCTAGACGAAGGGCAGGGTCGTATGCCACCTGTTAAAAAATAATAAGCTACACTTTACCATTGTTATCTCAGATGATTGGGGGATGGGTAGTCAGAAATATTGTTAAGTGACAACGTTGTGGCCAAATGCGTTCAACATAGGAAGGTATTTTTTTTAAGTAGGTATTTGCATAAAGGAAATTAAAATCGTTCTTGAAAATTAAAATAGAACATTATTAATTATTATTTATTTTACCAAAGCACCCAAACCTACTCAATTAATACAATACATACAATTGAACCAGCAACTAAAGGGAGGAGCGGCAGGTATAAATTAATAAACCTTAAGTCGTCGTTCCTTCTACCACAACTACATATTTTTTGTATCTAATATCTATTATCTATCTATGCTATTATTTACCTTGTAGAAATATAACGGGACAGGAACTTGGGGGTTGTTATTAGCATCTGTGTGCAAGAAAATATCCACCAGACAATTGTTCTGGTCTCGCAGTTGGGTCACGCAGAAGGTGCCGGTGTAAACTATAGTATTGTAGCCAGCTTGACCAATACGTTTACGTAGGTTCTGTAAAAGTAAAACAGTTATAGAACAGTATATTTCGTGTACTTCCAAATTTTGTAGTATTTTTATATTATTGTATTTTAATATTGTTCCTAATAAATCATAAAATTATTTCCTGCATAGCCATAGGTGGTCTTTCGCCGTCTGGGGCAAACCTGAAAGTTGCCGCCCTTTCTGTTTTACGTATTAATGACAGGAATATTAATAAAATTGAAATAAATTAGCTTAATTATTTAGATACAATACTTGTTGTCCATTAATATAAAAATATATATAATTTTCGTGAGTTTTTATTAATACAGTTTCATTTTTACTTAATAAAATCGCGATCATTGTCGCCCCTTTTATTTTATTATGCTGCTCGGGGCTATAACCCCGTCCGCAGCCCTCATGCTTCGCCACTGATCTACAGATATATTGTACATACTATTTACTAATAAATTACAAGTATTTAGGCCACCGAAGTACAGTCACAACTTCGTGTGCGACAATGCGGACAGTCTTGAAAACACTACCAGATTTTTTTGCCTTTGAATATTTAGTTTAAGTTGGTTGTTTTTTATTTTATTTTGTTATTCAGTAATGTAATTCATTTGTAGTCGTCGTACGATAAATATTTTGTGATTATAATCTGTCCTTATATTTTGAGATAGTTTGTAAATAATTTTACATTTATTTATCAAACTTACTTGTTCAAGCCAGTTCCAATTGCCAGCGTTGAATGGCTGCCACTGTGGAGCAGCGTTGATGAAGTAGAAGGAAGAACTCTGACCAGTTGCATAAATGAAGTCAGTCTTGGCCGCAAGATGACCACGGGTTAAGAATTGATGACTTGTTACATATTTGTCGGCTAATTCTTGTCCGACAAGTCTAGCGATTGTTGCCTTTTGTTGGACTTTAGTATACATATTGTTGATATCAACGCCGGTGAAGAAACTTCCAGCTAAAATAAATAGATAATTTTCAAGAATTTCTTTTATAAACAGTTTAGCAGTTTGTCATAGTTAAACTTTACATTTACACTTTTAAACTTTGGTTACGCTATCATGATAAAGAACTATGTACAAAAATTTTTACACTTTATGTACCTAACGAATATATCTACTTTGGTAACAATTTGCCATAATCTTTCAAAGCTGTTTGCTTACGTAACGAAATCAAATTCCAAATATCTTTATTCATGTAGGTCTATTACAGACTGTTAAGATATGTCAAATCTATCGTCAGTTCGGAATGATTACCAGATGAGAAGAACTGACAAGAAACAAAGTTCGTATTCTTTTCAAAAAAATGTACGTGTTTACAATAATACACAGTCATTAAAATTCAAATTTACGAGAATAGAGTGGCAACCAGCATATGCTAGTGCAAAAAACAAAAACTCTAATCAGTATCGCATCCTGAACAGACCACGAGTTTGACGAATGAGCCAGCCATCATTGCACTCAACCATATTTGAGGGAGCACATCGCCCCTGGCCCACGCTGCCACAAGTTTGAACTTTATAGCGAGCATGACTGTTTCAAGTTACTCCACTACTTCATTAAAAGTATTTACAGCATTGGCTGTGACATTCACAGTTTTCCCCCATTATAATATTTAATTTACATTATTTAAATTACAATATGTCATTACTAAATTTATAATAAGTTTCTTTCGTGTTTAGTTATATACTAACATTTTTGTTAATAGTTTTGTTATGAATATACTATAATAATACTCATAACAAAACTTAAGATTGTAATTAAGTCCAGGCATTGTAGTCATTTGCTTTCATTTAAATTTATAACATTATCTGGCAATTTAATATAAAAATGTAGATATACAACGTCACATGAAAGATGTACTTACTTTTTTGGGACGAAAACTAGGAATACTTAATTTATTTTTATTCCTAGTATTAAAAGCGTGTAAGTAACTATTCTTTGTAAACAAATTTAGGTTTTTAGGTACATATTTTCATATATACCTATACGGAGAGGGAACTGTAAAGACATGTTTCTTTAAAGCGTTCTCTAAGAGATTCACGACACGGTAAATTATATATTGGACGAATTGCTTTTTTTGCACTAAAAATTAATTCTACATCAGCAGCCATATCCCACAATATAATGCCATACAACAGTAACTAAAATACACTAGCTTCGTTGTTGTAGTATCAGTTAACTGTCTAATTTTTCTGATAGCAAAAGCAGACGAGCTAAGTCTTTTGGCCATCGCGAATATATGTGGTCCCCACTGCAATATATTATTTTTACAATACCAAGAAAAGAAGTCTCATCAACTAAGTCCAAAACATGATGATTCAAACTAACAGTTGTCGTTATTTGCTTTACATTTTTTAAAAGAGAATATAACACATTTTGTTTTCATTAAATTATGCGCTAGATTATTTGATGTAAACCTGTTAAGAACATTCCTAAGAGCATTATTTATATTACATAAATTCTTTGTATTTCTTTTCTGTTTCAAAATAAGTGATGTGTCATCAGCAAACAATACTATGTCAAGTATGTTTTGAAACTGGTATGGTAAGTTGTTTATGTAAACAAGAAAAAGAAATGGTCCAAGGATAGAACCCTGGGGTACACTCATTTTTATATATGACCCCTTGGACTTGCTTCCTTTAATGTCTACTACTTGAGTTCTTTCGCACAAATATGATCCAATGAGTTCTGAGGACTTTTCTCTAATTCCATAATGTTCTAATTTTAGTAATAAAGTCCTATCGTTAACGCAATCAAACGCTTAAAATATCTTAGTGCTGTAGTCTGCTTAAGCGTTTCTGATGAACATTTTCTACATACTGGATTTTGCGTCATGACGTAAATATAATAAACGAGTTTTAAGTACATTCGCGTGACTATAGTACAACTCGTTCATTAAATTTAAATGTTACCTTAAATACCTTACCTAGCCAACTCGGTCTATCGACGCCATGCTGGTAGACAGCATTTTCTGGATTCTGTTCATACCAAACGTAAAGAACTTCCAAACGGTTTTGATCAAAACATGACCAGTATAGTGGATAAAAGACATTGTTCACGATGTAACCAACCCTTAAATAAATAAACAACACATAAGCATTATGCTATGGTGAATGAAAATAAAGGAAAAAGCATTAGGTATTTATATACTTTATTTTGCTTACAATGCGATTGTAGAAGGTTGGGGGCCAAGAGTTAACAATCAAGATAATTTCGACGGTGTATTATCTGACGTAGAAAGAGAAACAAGAAGAAAGAGTCATTAGAACAGTTGTTCATACATGAGACGAGTTATGAATATGAATAAAATAAGATTTGTGTGTAATGATAGAATATAATGGCATTCCATTTGAATTCCATTCCCTTCCTACTACTTGATGGTTTTGACGCGAGGATGAATAAAATATTGTTGATTATTAAAATATTTGATTATTATATAATGTACCTATATCTTACGATAATTTGATAAGATTTATATATATTACTTATAATGTAATTGTCTTATTCAAGTTCTCCTTAATTTAGTATTAATTAACCTTAGGATTAAATATCTGTGCGTTACAGTATGATGCAGGAGATGTTTTCGAATTATTACATTATACTAAATATAAAAGAATTATAACTAATTACGGGAATAGGTATATTTGTTACTTACCTAATAACGAAATTGTTATTGAAACAGCGGTTATTAGTTGCCACAGCGTCGGGGACGTTGGGAGCTGAGCAAGTAAGTTCACTAAACTGACCGGTACCGTTAAGCCATTCATTACCAGACACCAAATTGTTACGTACACAAGTGGCTGTCTGCAATTAGTTCAGTCTAAGTAAGTATAAATAATATTATTCATTAAAACTACATTATTATCTAAATATCACTACATTATTATATAATTATTATGTGACTTTTAATTTCAATGTTGTATAAAAAAAAATCATCTTTTCCATCACTAAGCAAAGGGTTATCCCCTCGTTGGCCCAACATGTTAAGAGAAGGCCGATCTCCTTGGTTTCCTTTTTGCTTCCAACTCGACACTGGACGATAGGGAGTAATCACCGCCGGTCATGTCGCGGTGTGAGACTTATGCCTGAGGTAAAATTTACCCAAAAGCTGGTACGTAAGGCTCTTTTCTCTCTAGACATCCATAAGTCGAGTGGGCCTAAAGGTATTCCAGCTATTGTGCTCAGGTTGTGTGCACCCGAGTTGGCTTCGGTACTAACGCTACTCTACAAGTGTAGTCCCGAAACTTTGAAAGACGGCTTTGGTTCATCCGATCCCTAAGAAGGGAGATCGCTCAGATCCAGCTAACTATAGGCCCATAGCGATCACCTCCTTATTCTCAAAGACCATGGAGTTAATTGTCAACTCTTGCGATACCTAGAAGTGAACCAGTTGATTTCTGATCGTCAGTATGGCTTTCGCCGGGGTCGCTCAGCTATCTTCTAGTGTATTTGACACATCAATGGGTAGAGGCTATTAAGAGTAAGGGGAGGCCCTATCCGTTAGTCTGGATATTGCGAAGGCCTTTGATCGGGTTTGGCACAAGGCTCTTCTTTCAAAGCTACTATCCTTTGGGTTGCCTGCGAAGTTATGCAAATGGGTCGCCACTTTCTCGCTGATCGGAGCATCAAGATCTTTGTCGATGGTGCTTGCTCCGACCCACATTCTGTGAAAGCTGGTGTTCCACAAGGTTGTGTTCTATCCCCAACTCTGTTCCTCTGCATATCAATGACATGTTACAGATCACCAGCATTCATTGCTATGCGGATGATAGTACCGGTGATGCCTTGTACAGCGGCCATGCTAATATGTCGCAGGCAAAAGTTATAGAGTACCGGAACAAACTTGTGTTTGAAATCGAAACTTCTCTTCATCCAGTTTTGGTTTGGGTAAAGCGTGTTCAATTAAATCTCAAGAAGAAATAAGTCTGCGCGTTTAACGTTAAAAAGAATCCATTTATCGTGTCTACTCAGTTTCAAGACACTCTCCTTGATGTGAAGCCACATCTCGAGGTCCTTGGCGTTGATATGTCCAGTGACGTTCAGTTTTGCGGTCATTTGGAGGACAAGGCTAAAATAACCTCCAAAAAGCTTGGTGTGCTTAGTAGAGTGAGACGGTATTTCATGGCGGCTCATCGCTTGCAATAACAATACAAGGCGCAGATCCGGCCGGAATATTGTACACAATAATACTTCTATTTGACCGCATTCTGGATCGAGCAACCGGAATCATTAGTAATTAACGTCTATATCGCTTTTATGGCTTTGCGGCGCGATATTGCATCTCTGTGAACTTTCTACCGCATTTATCACAGGGAGTGTTCTGAGGAATTATTCGGATTAATACCAGCTGCTGAGTTTCACCATCGACCTGCCAGAAACTATAATACCATCCTGATCATCTGGATGAATGGCGGTCTTCCACAATGCGGTTTTCTAGAAACTTTTAGCTACGCACAACCACATTGTGGAATCACCTTCCAGCAATGGTATTTCCGAACCAATACGATATTGAAACCTTCAAGGAAAGAGCTTATTCCTTTTTAAAAGGCCGACAACGTACTTGCAATTCCCCTGGTGTTGCGAGTGCTTATGGGCGGCGGTAATCACTTACCATCAGGTGAGCCGCTTGCTTGTCTCCTGTGTTATATAAAAAAAATTGTCACTGTGTATAAATTAACAAGAATTAAAATACTCGTATTCTTTGATGATTAGCAACAAACATTAGGTAACCTTGCAAGATTAATCAATAATGTTTCTAAAGTACTTACAGCAGTCTGGACTGGGTACAGAATGTTAGGATGCTGAATGCGCCCAGATCCAGTGCACGCTACGAGGATTTGATCTTCAGTGTTGAGGTTGATTACACCACTGTTCCCAGTAGGGACAACGTAGTTGTTGTTGCGTATGTAAACAGGTTGTGACTGACGACCAAGATCACCGTTCACTCTGATTGAGCAACCTGTCAATAATTAATTGTTTTTATTTAGGTATTATCTAGGTCCTCATTACGATTAGGTATTTTCAATTATTGACAATTTCTTTTTCTGGTGACGGATCTACATGTATTCAACTTTTTCAATTTTGTTTGGAGAGTGAGTCCACTACGATAAATCCGATATCCCATGTTGTAAACAATCTTTTATAGTCCTATTGCTGGGAGTTCGTAAAAAAAGAAAATTTACTCTACCATTACTTTTCCTTCTGTTTATAGTCGATCGCTTCATTAACGGTCCGATCTTAAGCATGTAGTTGCCTTTTTGATATGGGCTCATTGGTGCAGTGAAGATGCACATCAGTATAGTGTTACTGGAAGAATCCTATTCTATCTAGAGTAGGTACTACTCTCAAATTCATCACAGTTACTCAGCTGTACAAAAAAGAAGTACCTCATAGAACAAGTTCATCAGTACTTTATGGTAATTTTATTTCCGAGGCAAAGAAAAAGAAAATTGTTACCTGTGAGCTGCTGAAATATCAGCATGACTTTAAACATACTGGTGTTATTACTCTTTGCACAATTTCATGACAAATCAATGTCAAGAAATTAAAATGCATGTAGAAAAGCTTATAGCTTGTAGAATGGCGTTATAGAATGATGCCATTGTAGAAATAAACTGCTCTAGTATACTTAGTACTTACCTATGATAGCTATTTAAAAAATTATGCTATATCTGAAAAATGTAAGACCAGGTGCAATTACAAATGTATGCCGCTGGTGTAAAAGTGTTATTTTTGTGTTACTGACAGCAAATTAGAAGAAAATGAGACAGGTGAAATTTATTTAGTCACTTAGGATGCTATGTCAATAAGTTAATAATAGTTATGTTGTGTTAAATATATAAATAGTTAATAAAAATAGTCATGTTGTGTAAATAAGAAAGTAAAACCAATGTATATCATAAGTATTTTGTATTATTTCTTACTCCAACAAAGCCGAAGAGTGCGCCTACTACCGGATCATCCGACACTGGGAATGTTGGTATGGAAATAGCGGGGCTCGCCGTGAAGAAGGGGAAGACTCCCAAGGAAGGGAGACAATATGTGGGTCCAGGGGCCGCAAAAGCGGCTCTGAAGGGGATGATGAGGCAGCAGAGCCCAGTACTGTCCGATCTGGGGTAAAGGCCCCCAGGGACCCCACCGTCCCGGCAGAAGTACACCTCCACAAAGTGCGGGAGAAGACCATGGAGGTTCTAGGGGTGGTGAAGAAGTCGGGGAACTTGAAGGGAACCTGCCAGAAGCAAATCAAGAGTGCACTGGCAAGGCTGAATTCCCTGGCTGATCCCTTGAGCCCATGAGTGCATGGAGTCGGGGCGATTTCCCAAGAAGTGGAAGACGGGCAGTCGTCCTGCTCCGCAAGGAGGGGCGCCCTGCGTATTCTGTATCTCCCTCGGCGTTCCGCTCGATTGTCCTTCTTGACGAGGTCGGCAAACTATTCGAGAGGATAATAGTACGCCGCCTCGTCAAGCACATGGTTCAGGTAGGCGCTGATCTATCTCCAAACCAATTCAGGTTCCGAGGGGGCCAATCCATGATCGATGCGATCTCATAGGTTCGTGCCCTCTCGGATGAGGTGGTCTCCTAGAGGGGGGTGTTGTTGGCGGTGTCTCTCGACATCAAAAACGCCTTCACCACCCTCCCCTTCGACTGTGTTCGGGAGGCACTCAAATATCAACAAGTGCCTCCCTACCTTCGGGAGGTGATCGGGGCCTACTTCCAGGACAGGAAAGTCGTGTGTATCGGGCGGAACGGCACAGTGATTGAAAGGGAGATGCAGCGTGGTGTTCCACAGGGATCGGTTCTGTGCATGCCTTGAGCCACCCCACAACGAGGCCCCTGGAGGCGCGCTCGTGTCCACGCTCCTCCACGAGAAGGTAGGGTGCAAGTCATAGCACCCTAACCAGACAGGCCCCCTGCCTGTCCTACAACATCTACAGGACAGGCCAAGCCGCCGAAGTCTGGGTTGAGTACCAAGTTCGAACCCCGGACTTCGGCGCACGCCACCTCGAGGTATACCGTGTGGTTTTTTAGTGGGTACGAGTCCCACACACCACCTCGCCATCCCTCCGGCGGGGTGACGGACTTGTTGAAGATTTTTCCACACGATAAAAAAAAATGGCCAGTCAGCTCCCGCCAAGACGCAGCCAGCGAAGGGTCCACGCGGCGGCCCAACGGAGTAACCCCAGATGTCCAAACGGAGGAGGCGAAGGCCACCGAGGCGAAGGCCGAAATATCTTTGGCGCCGCTCGGTATCACCGATCTGAGATTTAGGGTCGGATAGACCGGGGCCCGTATCCTCGAGATTCCTGGCACCAATACAGACGAGGCAGCGGACGCGTTGGCTGCTAAAATTGAGGAGGTCCTATACGAGGACGTCCGGGTCACGAGACCAGTCAAGTCGGCTGAGCTGCGTACCGGTGACCTGGACGACTCGGTGTCGGTAGCCGACGTCGTCGTCGCTGTCATGCGAGAAGGGGAGTGCCGGGAATCCGCAGAGAAAACCGGCGAGATTAGGCGCAACGCGCAGGGTACGGGCTCAATCTGGGTGCGGTGTCCAGTGGTCGCCGCGAAGAAGTTGGTCGAGACTCCATATTTGACCCTTGGGTGGAGGATTGTTAGGGCAATCCGAAGCTCACCGGGGAGGCATTAGGGTCTGGAGGTGGCGTGCAGACAGTGTTCCCTGCACGCCTAGATAGAAAGGTCCCTTCGATGGGAATCATGCCGGTGGTCTTGGTGAATGCTTTGTGTATCCCATGGCCACGGCGATTATGTCGAGGTGGAACAGTCGTCAGGTTTTTAGCAGGTAGGAGTCCGGCAGTATCCATTCTCCCCCACGGCAATGGTTCACCATGATGGATTTTCCTGACGTAAAAAAAGTAGTAGCATGTATGACCACAGGTCAAAATGGTGTACAGAAATGTGAATTAGATTAGATATTGTTTATTGACTTGTACAATATGAATTCACCTAAATGGTGTCGTATCAAAATGGACATCTTTTTGCATACTAAGACTATTCGGAAAGAAAATCTTCGACATAAAAAAGAATGTCTAATATGACGGTTGTCATATTGTCTCTGGCCCACTGAAAACCCGACGTTGCAGGATTGCTAAAATTATATTTCAGCCACGTATAGTACAACCGGGTCTGAACAGATATAAAAATTTGCAATAAGATACCAAAGGAATTAAATATTAAAGTATTAAATTAAGTCAAATCATGATTGTTTATGCACGGGATTTCATTTAATGCTAGACCTAGACACCTATACAAATATACATTACTATTGAGTTTCTTGCCAGTTCTTCTTAATTGGATCTATATACCAAACTGGATGGTAGGTAGAAAATAAGAATTATAATGTAAAAATTTTACGTTCATAAGCGGCTAGTACTACATGAGTAAATAACTTTTGAATTTGAATTTGGAAGTTGACAAGGAGGTCGAGGCATGGTAGGTTTTGTGCATGGTACCTGGGATCGGATAAGGCAGTGATCTGAAGAATCAAGTGGTCTCTTCACGGTCACCGAATATCCGTCCAGACGGATAGTTTAAGTGGTTCGGAATAAAGGCCATAATAAATAGTAATAAGTGGTGATTAGAATGGATTTTATGAAATCATCAATTAAACTCACACAATCTCATATAAAAATTATGATCATATAAAATGGTATCAAATAAGGCACAATATACACTGAGTACAAGATTTAGAAGAGATATAACTAATGTCCCTACTAGCTTGCTAAACCTAAACGTACCATTCGTAGTATTTACACTTGTCGCATTTGCCCATTTGATATTTTCTATCTCGAGCCACGCATCGAGATAGTCTTCGAATTCTTCCTCATTGAGTACAAGAGCAAGCTCTCCAGGCTCTAATATGTTTGATACACCAACTGCAGCTATCACAAGCGATGTCAATACAACCGTCAGACGAGTCATATTTGCTCTAAAGCAAAGACTTCAATAAACGGTAATACAAATATGAATCTGTGCTCTTGTAATAGATGTATACATATTACAACATTATCTTATTTTGCAAAGAAGTGTTATCTAGTAATTGCGTCCGTAGCCGTTCGATAATGATTGTGCTCGTCACAACCCAAAAATATGTTAGAATTATTCGGCATATATTTTTCTGATTACATTGATTTATTCTTTTGTTTATTTAAGGGGCTTTGCACATGGTGTGGTCGCCGCTGCACTCTGTCGCAAAAGGCTGTTGAGCGCATAGAATATTATTATTAGTCGTAAAGAATTTGCACTATTATATGTAAAAATTCTAAGACATATTTTACCAATTACTGAAGTGGAAAATTTCAATATATTTTTTGTGTTCATACACACTATTTTTACAGAGGTAAAATTTGCACTATTATATGTAAAAATTCTAAGACATATTTTACCAATTACTGAAGTGGAAAATTTCAATATATTTTTTGTGTTCATACACACTATTTTTACAGAGGTAAACTTTGTGGTAAGTCGTCCGTGTGGAGTGTGTCCTTGGTCTTACCTATACAGTCGCCAAACAACAGTATTTTAAGCTGTGTTTTGGTTATAGGGTGAAAATTCACTGAAATAACAGTATAAGTGAACTAAGATGAAATCCTCGGGATCGGCAATAGCAAGAGCATCTCGTGTGTCACATGATAACGCGATGTCCGTAATGCTTTTCTTGTATATAGGCGAGGGTTACCACTTATCATCAGATGGACAGTCAACTTGATTGCCATTCCTATTTCATAAGAAAACTTTATTAGATAGCAGATTTCCACTTTTTCCATTGGTAGTTGTTGTTTAGTTACGTGAGTATACAATCTAGCTTTTGTTTTGATAAACTCTTTGCAACTAAACCTATTATCTTCTGCGAGACGGTGCTCGGTGACGAACTACGCCGTATGCGAAGTGCCTAACATATGTGTGTTGCAAATAATTTTAATTCTAAATTAATGTGATATTTAGTGTAATGCCCGATTTATGATAAGTATTCATTATATTTTGAAACCACCCGAATATATGTTTGACATAGATTAGATCAAGTTCACCTTATTGTCATGAATTGAATGGTGTCGCTGAGCGTTACCATAGAACCATTATGGAACGTGCTAGATGTCTTTGTCGTGAATCTAACTTAGATAGAAAGTATTGGTCAGAAATTATTCTAACGTCATGTTATATTGGAAACCGTTTATTCCACATCAACACTTTTGAGAGATTGACTCCTTTTGAAATATTCACAGATAGGAAGCCTAATGTGGCAAACTTAAAATCATGTGGAAGTACTGTTTATTATAAAATTCCAGACTATCATAGGTCAGCCCAAGACATCAAAAGTAGGAAGGGAAAATTAGTTGGTTACACAGAAGATGGTTACCGTAACTTGGTTGATAATGGTACTATTGTCATCTCTAGAGATGTCAGATTTATTCATGGCATTAATGATTGCATTAGAATTCGGAGTATGATGATAAAACAAATGATGGTGACACGTCTGTGCAAGGAAACAAAGCTAATAAGTATAAATCTGCACAAGATGACAAACCTGAACATGAAGATGAAAAACATGTGCTGATTCTCCAGCAAACTTTGAAAAAGCTATGAAATCTAATGAACATGGTAACTGGATGAAAGCCATGAAGGATAAAATGAATTCCATAGAAAAATGTATGACACGGAAGCTGGTCGAAAAACCTAAGAATAAGAAAGTATTTGATGTCAAGTGGATCTTTAAAGTAAAATCAAATGGCATATATCGAGCAAGATTTGTGGTTCGAGGATTTCAGCAAACAGACTTAATGGAAGAAATCTATGCACTTGTTACAAAAATGGGAACTTTACGGGCTGTTTTGCCAGTTAGTCTTCAGACAGGTTACTTTATTCATCAAATGGATGTGACAACTCTTTTCTCAATAGAGAGATTAAATCCGAAGTTTATGTTAAACAACCAAATGGATTTAAAAACGAAGATCGCAGGGTATATCGCTTGTGTAAGTCATTATATGGGCTGAAAGAGGCACCACGAACCTGGTATGAATGCATTGATAGTTTTATTCATTCATTGAAATTCAGTCGCAGTTCAGTTGATAATTGTTTGTACATTCGGGATGATGGAGTTATATGTATATTATTGCTTAGCAATATTGATGATTATACATTGCTACTTCTACATGTCCTGACATTTCTTATTCAGATGGGTATTTGAGTAGTTTCACGAATTATTGTACTCTACAGATTTATAAGTATGCTCTAAGAGTCTTGATATATCTTTATCACTCCCGTGAACAAGTGTTAGTATTTACTAAATCAGATTCAGCTTGGTCGAATACTTTTGTTGATGCTGATTGGGCGGTTGACGTAAATGATTCAAAGTCCGCGACTGGTTTCATAATCTTTGTTAAGGGTTGTCCTGTCTTGTGGAAGTCTATAAAACAAAAGTATTTATCTCGTTCATCCAGATTTGCTGAATATTGCATTGGCCGATGGTGTTGATGAAATTCTATTTTTTTAAGAAGTGTTGAATGATTTGAATGTTGTGATTGAAAATGTAACAACATATATAATAGGTATAGCTAAAAATGGTTCAGTTACTAAAAAATCGAGACATATTAAAGTGGCTGTCGATTTCATAAGTGATATGATAAACAAACTAGAGATTACAATAGATAAAGTTTCCAGTGAAGAAAATATTGCTGATATATTTATTAAATCATTGGGGAAATCAAAATTTAAAAAGTTTAGAGATAAATTGAGAATTCGTTAATAAAATCAATGATTATATAATAATAGTTATTTTGTTATACATTTAATTATATGATTTATTCCTTAAAATGTGGAACAGTAGATTTCAAGTACTTATTTAAAATTATTTTTTTGTTTAACTATCCCATGAGGGGCAAAATTGTACATTTAAGCGAAAGATACAAAAGTTTTATATTGTTTTAAAGTTGTTGTCTCTAAAGTTTAAATAGCCAGAGGGGTGCTAGGTAGACTATTTGACATAATGTAAAATGTATATTGTCAAAGTCATGTCATATGAAAAAAAAACATCTGTGAAAAGTGTGGATTTTGATAAAAAAACGTTCGAGAATTTTCTTTAGTTTTATAAAAGTAAAGTTAGTTGTTAATTAAAAGAGGATTGAAATAGAACATTAAAAGAAGAAGTGTATTCTTAATAATTAGTATACTGAGGAATAAATCCATTACTATTAAACTATATGCTGTATACTTACCACCACCTGTTAAAGATAAAACATTAAAGATATTTGTTGACAATACTAATAGAATTTTAGAGTCATCTACAAATTGAAATTATACTATAATCGCCGGTGACTTCAACATGAGCAGTATACATTAACATCCAAATTATAGTGATAACAATGTCCTCTACGCAGTTCTTGCAGGTTACAGCGACCGTGAGCTATTATGTAAGTTTGTCGACTTGTTAACACTTAATGACCTTAAACAATACAATTGCGTTACTAACTATCAAACATTAGATTTGCTATTATATAATGACGAAATCCTGAATATCTCTGAATGTTAAAGGCCTATTAGAAATATCACCCGTCTCTGAAAATAGAAGTTATTATTAAAAATAAGAGAAGTAAGTCCAAAAATACAAATACCTACTAGGTGTAATTTCTATAAAGATTATTACCACGTACCTTAAATCGATATCCTGATGGGATGAATTTGGCTCCTGCAGCGGTATTAATGAAATGGTGACAAAATTTTATAACATATTACGTGACGCCATCAAATCTTACATTCCTATGACAAGAATTCGCAATAGTTCATACACTGTTTGGTTTTTATCTCACCTAATACATTTACTGAAACAAAAAATAATAAAATTGTAATAGATTAATAAAATAAATGCTATAATATATATACATAAATAAAATTGAAAAGTAACCCAAAAAATTTCATACAATAAAATTTCAACATAAAAAATTTGCGCAAAAATAGCTCATCATACCCAAACACCACGACCCTAAATAATAATACATCTTCTGATGCAAATCAGATTTCAGACATGTTTGCCACTATTCCACCGTGTATGAATATCACAGTAATAAATCATTGGATAATAATATGATGATCACAGTAACAAATCATTGGATACTCCTACAATAACAGTCCACACGCATGACACAATAGGTAATATTCTATGACGCCTCAGGAAGTTATTAAAAAACTTAGGACGCTTGACTTAAAAAGGGAGCAGGACCAGACAACATACACCCACTCTTTCTAGTGAAGTGTGCTCACACAGTGGCTCTCCCGCTATGTATTATTTTACCACTCCAAACCGGAATTTTTCCCAATGATTGAAACGCAGTTAATATATTACCAATATACAAGAATAGAAATAAAGGTATGATATCTAATTACTGACCAATATCACATTGTCGGCTATGTCTAAGTAGTTAGAAACAATGGTACATTCTGTTTTGTATATATACAAACAAAAGTACATAACATATAATCAGCATGGATTTATGGCAGGAAGATCAGTTATCAACACCAATCTTTCACTATATACCTCAGAGCTTAAGGAAGGTGTTGATCAAAATGTGTACATTTTGATCAACACCTTCCTTAAGCTCTGTAGGTAGTTGTGGTGTACGCCGATTTTGCAAAAGCTTTCGATAAAGAAAACCATAGAATTTAGTAAAGCTTCCGATAAAGTAAACCATAGCTGAAAAATTGGATGTGTTTGGAATAACTGGCAACCTACGCAAATGATGTGTATCTTACCTTCATAGTCGTTACGCAAGAGTCGTGTTCAATGGTGTTCAGTCTTAGTCTCTTACGGCAACTTCAGGAATACCCCAGGGCTCTATATTGAGACCTTTATTTTTCAATGTTTTTATAAATGACATTACAGATAATATTAAGCACAGTACAGGTTATCTTTTTGCTGATGACTTTAAATTAGTAAGACGGTTGCAAATAGCTTGAACATGGAAATATTTTAGGATGATATTGATAGCTTTACTAAGTGGTGTAATGATAATAAAATGTTGATACATTTAATTGTTGTACCAATATTTTAAAATGTTACCATATTAAATTTAGCAGAAAACATAGACCTTTCAGATCACATTATTTTATTAACGGTACCAAACTACAAGAAGTCATTACATTACAAGATCTTGGTATTCTCATGGATGGCCAACTAAGATATTCTGATTACATTGATATAATTTTAGCCGAAGTTAACAAGTCACTTGTTGGCGTCAGGGAGTGAAAGAGTGGACTGTTATAGATTCTCCAATGCGTTTATTACTATAACTTGTATTACAATGCTTTAGCCCGACATTAATAGTACGGAACGCTATGAAAATAAACTAAAGATGCACGTGCGGTTATTACGGCGTTAAAAACCAGTGTGTCGCTGTGTGCGGCCGGCAGCCGGCCGCAGCGATATTGTCCGACGCCCCGCGCCCCCGGGTCTCCCCGGGGACATCATCGCGCTCGCTGTTTATGGCTTGACCATAGACTCCCCGCGTTGAAGTGCCAAGTTCAAAGCTCTTGACAGGCAGGGGGCATATGGTATTGTATGCCCGGCGAATGACACCCCTCTTCGTTTGGATGTCTGCAACCCTTGCTACGCCGTCTCTTCCAGGCAGAATACGTACAACGCGTCCCAGAAGCCACATCAATGGAGCAGACGTCTTCTCCTTGATAACGACGAACTTTCCCTCTTTCAGCTCGCCATAGGACCGGTGCCATTTGGTTTTCTTTTGGAGCCATAAAACATACTATTTAGAAAATCGACTCCAGAAGTGTTGCTTGAGTAGCTCGATGCGTTGGAAACACTGAAGAGAGCTAGCTCGGCGATTGACGATATCAGGATGTGGCAAACAGATCAGAGATCGTCCAACAAGGAAGTGAGCAGGAGTAAGGGGATATAAGTCGGATGGATTATCAGATAGAGGTGTGAGGGGGCGAGAATTTAGGATGGCTTCTATTTGAATAAGAAGAGTAGCCATTTCTTCATAGTTTAAGTGAGTCATATCCAAAACGCGCCTAAGATGATGTTTTACGGATCGCACGAGTTACTCCCATAAACCACCGAAGTGAGGAGTGTAGGCAGGTATGAATGAAAAGTTGATACCTATTTCAGCTAAACCCGAAGTCAAGGATGATTGTGTGAGAAGTTTGGAGAGCTCATGGAAAGTTCCAATAAAGGTCGTGCATTTGTCCGAGAACAGCGTCTGCGGCTTACCTCGACGTGCTATAAACCTGTGTAGTGCTGCAATAAAAGCTTCTTTGGTTAAATCAGAGACAAGCTCCAGATGCACGGCCTTTGTGGCTAGACACACAAACACACAAATATATGATTTTATAAGTTTACAGCCTCTACCTTTGCGGTCAGCTATCAGCATTGGTCCAGCATAATCGACACCTGTTTCTAAGAAGGGACATTCTAAATGGACTCGTTTTTCTGGTAGGTTACCCATCAAGGGCTGGACAGTCTTCCCCTTGAATCTACTGCATCTAACACACGAACGAACTATACGTTTCGCTAAAATAGTGCCGCCTATTGGCCAATAATTATGTCTGGCGGTGGCTAGTAGTAATTGTGGACCAGAGTGCATGTGTTTTTTATGAAGCATTTCGAATATTAATTCACATAAGCGATGTTTACCTGATAGAAGGATAGGATGTTTAACGTTGTAGTCGTAGTGAGAATCACTAAGCCTGCCACCCACGCGGATGAGGTAATCAGAACCAACAAACGGTGTCAATGACAGAAGTCTATTTTTATGGGGTAAATGCTTATTGAGTAATAGTAACTCACGTTCCTCAGGGAATGAATCCTGCTGAGCTGTACGTAATAGAAAATTTGTGGCATTATTTAATTCTGATAATGACAAGTTATTGTGTAATTTACTTGCATTTTTATGGCAGTTATTAATGAACCTTAAGACAAATGCAAGTACACGTTGTAATTTTGTAAGCGATGAAAATTTATTTATTAGTGATGAAATTAAATTGGTGTTATTATTATTTTTTGATAGCTTGTTATTAATATGGAATGTTTGAATTGTTTCTGGTAAATTGGAAGTGTATTTATTTGGATTAGTGGGCCTTTGAGAGGAATCTCGTGTTAATAAGGCAGGGCCTGTCCACCACAACGAGGAATTACCTAATAAATCTGCTCTAACACCTCGAGACACTAAATCTGCCGGGTTAATTTGGTAGGTACATACCGCCAATAATGACAATTTTCTTGTATTTCTAAAACTCGGTGACGTACGAATGGTTTAAGATGGTTTGGTGGAGAAGAGAGCCAGCCTAAGATGATGGTAGAATCAGTCCAAAATACACTACAACTAAATTCAAGAGTAACTGACGTCATTACCTTCATGAATAGTCCTGCTCCTAAGAGCGCGCCACATAGTTCAAGTCGGGGAATGGTGGTGGTGTTAAGTGGAGCTATCTTATTTTTGGAAGCCAAAAGACGGACATTAATTGATTCATCGCTATCGCTATACTTCTTACGTATATGCATGTACCATATGCCTTCTCCGAAGCATCTGTAAATATATGTATTTCTGTTTTATTTGTTTTGTCGTTTTTAATGCACCTAGGAATTTCAAGTTTATTTAACTAGAACTGTATAAACTCTGACCAAATAATTTCTATGTCTTTTGGGACCCTTTCATCCCAAGAGCATTTATGTATCCACAATTTTTGCATTAATATTTTTGCTTCAACAATGCATGGTGATACTAAACCTAGAGGATCAAACACTTGCGAAATTGTAGACAAAATAAATCTCTTTGTTACTTTATCTTGAGGTGTAATATTAATAGAAAATGATAAATAATCAGTTGAACACTTCCAATAAATACCTAATGTTTTTGCACATTCTTTTGCACTAAGATCTACGCTACCAGATATCTCATTATTTTGGTTTATACTATATAAAATAAACAAATTATTTGAATGCCACTTTCTTAAATTAAATTTGGCTGAATGAAGTGTATCAATAACACCTTGACATAATGATATACAGCCTTCAATTGTATCATGACCGGACAAAAAATCGTCAACATAAAAATCATGACAAATAGCGCGTTTTACTTGAGAATCACTGGACTCATGACCTAATTGTGTGAGACATCTAGTGGCTAGAAACGGCGCTGATGCCGTGCCGTAAGTAAGTGTATTTAGGGTATATGATTTAATTGGGTGGGAGGGATCGAACCTCCATAATATTTTTTGTAATGGACGTTGTGATTCATGTAATAATATCTGCCGATACATTTTTTCAATGTCGGCTGACACAACAAATTTATGTTGTCGAAAGCGTAATAATATAGCTAATAAATCGTCCTGCACAGTAGGACCTACGCGTTGTATGTCATTAAGAGACTTGCCTGAGGACGTAGGGGCAGAACCATCGAATACAACACGTAGTTGTGTGGTTGTACTAGTTTTAAGAACGCCATGATGTGGCAAGTAGCATTGAATTGTGTTTTTATTACTACTACATGTATCTTCATTCAAATGTCCCAGATTGGCATATTCATTTATAAATTCTATATATAGACGTTTCAAATGTACGTCTCTTTCTAAGCGACGCTCAAGGGAAAGAAATCTATTTTTTGCAGCATTATATGAATTGCCTAAAACGTCAGGAGGCTCCCTGAGCGGCATATAAACTACAAACCGTCCATCTATGTTACGCTGTGTAGAATTTATAAAATCACGTTCACATGCCTGTTCTTCTGGAGTGAACTCATAATTTGATGTAATTGTATCTAGTTCCCAAAATCGGGTTAAGTCGGTATGGTCGTTTGAAAACATACATATATGTTGTTTGGGACTAGGTTGAAAAATGCTACCAGAAACCAACCAACCGAGTTTGGTTTCAAAAAGAGTTGGCTTGTGCTTGCCTAGTTGGATACGATTTGTACCGATCACATTCCAGAAGACGTCCGCACCTACAAGGATATCAATGGATGACGGCACGTTGAAATTTGGATCGGCTAAGCAAACCCCAGGCGGTATTTCTAAGTTATGCACATCTATATATGTATTTGGAAGTAAGGCAGTGATGTTAGGTAAAACGAAACAATTGATATCCGTCCTGTAGCCACCACAATAAGACTCCAATGTAAGAGAGCATGACAATGAACTCGTGGATACCTGTTGATTGATGCCTGTTACTCTTGAATTCGTAGCGTTGGTAAGAAGATTGAGTTTGGCACAAAATTCCTTTGTGACAAAGTTTCCTGTGCTTCCATTGTCTAATAAGACTCTAGCGGCATGTGATTTTCCATGGCCGTCGAGCACCTTGACCATAGCTGTGGATAGCAAAATATGGTTTGTGTTAATTAAAGACTGAGATGGTTCAGCAGATAACACAACGCTGTCATGTGCGACAGGCTCATTATGAATATCGAGATGAAGAAGCGTGTTGTGTTTGGATTTGCAATATTTGCAATGTGACAATTTACAGCGTGATTCGTGGTGACCAGGCCGAAGGCAATTTAAGCATATTTTAAAGGTCTTAGCCTTTTCAATACGCGTCTCAACAGGAAGCTTTCTGAAGGCATCACAATTAAATAAATAGTGCTCATGATAGCATAATGGACATGAAAATGATTTATTTTTACCTGAAGAAATTATAAAGCTATTGGATTTGTGAATATGATTAGATTCAGAATTACCTCTGTTATTTTTTGCCTCCTCCAAAGTCTCCAAAAGATCTGCTCTGTTAGTTAAAAAGGTTAAAAAAATATCTAGAGTAGGTGGATCGTTGCGATTGTTTCTGTATTCCTCCCATTCCCTATTTGTGACAATATCTAATTTAGTTGACATCATATAAATTATTAAAGTATCCCAACTTTCTGTAGGCTGGTCAAGCGTAGCCAAAGCTTTAAGATTTTTATTTGTGACATCAACTATGTAATGCAAGGCTTTACTAGATTCTTTTTTGATGGCATTTACATTGAAAAGGGCGTGAACATGATTGTTTACAAGCAAGCGTTTATTATCGTACCTCTTGCACAACAATTCCCATGCGGCAGCATAATTCTCAGCCTTAAAATCTAAGCTTTTGATGAAAAGGGCTGCACTGCCTTGCAAACAAGCACGAAGATAATGAAATTTGTTTATGTCGTCAATGACCGTGCTGGAATGAACTATAGAAATGTAGGTATCGCGGAATTCAAGCCAATGCTGGTAACTGCCATTGTAAAAAGGTAACTGTATCTTGGGAAGACGTACGAAACTATTGTGTTTGTGCGCATAAGCATCATGAGAGCTTACCTCGTGATTTGAGGAATGTGACGAAGTTGATGATGACTGGCACAGGGTTTTAGCAGTCGCGACAGCCGAGTAATACTGGTTCTCGAACACGTCTCGTTCCTGATACCTCTGATCAGGATCGTCAGCGAATAGAATAGAATAGAATAGAAAATCATTTATTCAAATAAACTTAATTTAAGCACTTTTGAATAGTCATAACAATTTGTTTTTTATCTACCACTCGTTCGGAAAGCTGTCTCATCACAAGAAGAACGAGCAAGAAACTTGTGTGTTGCTCTTTTAAATAATCCTTGTAAGTTTACATTTACAAGTCGAAACGTGTGAATACAAACTACCAACAAGCACTAATTTTTTGGGTCCAATATAATCATGCAATAAGATTAAATCAGTCGTAGTGATAAGAGCACCAGTCCCTACAAGCAGCACTCGTTCACGAGTATGACGGATGAGCCAGCTGCGATATTTTGGGAGCCCATTTCAAATGTCTGACAATGAGCATGACTACTCATTCCACACGACCACGTCACAGCTACAAAAATTACTATATGGTAGTTACGGATGCATGCGGCAATAAAATACAAAAGCCGCTACGCTATCATATATGCAGTATGAAAATTAAAATTATAACGTTGTCCGCAAATAAACTTATTCTTGCTATATATTGCTATCATCTATAAATTCATCTATCTTATAATAGGCTTTTTTTGTTTAATATAAGATTTGAATTGCCTCTCTGTAAGATTTAGCGTAGACTCTGGCAGTTTATTATAGAATCTTACGCAATTACCATAAAATGAATTACTAACTTTGTGTAGACGGCATTTAGGTAAAATTAGCTTATTTTTATTGTGTAAGTTTCTACTTGTACAGTCTTTAAGTTTCTTGAAACTATCTAAGTTTTTCCTTGTATACATAATATTTTCATAAATGTACTGTGAAACGTGAGGATATTTGATTAAAGCATTGTAATGACTCTCTAGAACCCATACCATAAATAGAACGTATGGCTCTCTTTTGTAAAATAAATATAGTATTTATATCGGCAGCTTTACTCCATAGCAGTATGCCATATGACATAATGCTATGGAAATAACTAAAATACACAAGTTTTGCCGTCGCCACGTCTGTTAATTGCCTTATCCTTCTAATTGCATAAGCAGCAGAACTAAGTCTACTGGCTAATTTTGAAATATGGGGCCCCCATTGTTTGTTATTCCTTGTATCATTAACAAAATTTACTATTTCATCATTAAGCAATAGCTGCGATTGTTTTACATTAGGCAGCTGAATTTAATGCACTTAGTTTTGTTGGAGTTCAATAATAAATTATTACATGTGAACCAATTTTAGCAGAGATAGCATAATTTACATCGTCTAATTGATTACATTGGCGACCAATTTTAAACACTAACGAAGTATCATCCGCAAATAACACTATATCTGCAACTTTCTCTACCATGTAGGGAAGATCATTTATATAAATTAAAAAGAGAAATGGGCCTAATATTGAACCTTGAGGAACGCCCATTTTTATATTAGTTCCCTTAGACTTTACACCATCAATATCTACAGTTTGCACCCTATCCTCTAGATAAGCGAGTTCCTCGATCTCACCCTGAAGATTATCAAAGTCAGAATATAGTAATTCCATTTTATCAATACGCGATTGCAGTTCAAATTGAATGGCTGCATTGCTAACAGCGGAACTCTCTTTTAAAATATTAATATAATTGCAAAAATTTGTAAGTTTACTTTTAAATGTTCCACGTCTTTTAATTAATTGATTTAGTTGTGTTGATTTAGATTCTGACATTGTAAACGTTAATTAAGATGAGTTGAATGAATACTATATGATGAAGTTGAATTGCAAATAAAAGGAAATAAAAAGAATAATTATTTTTATTTTGTTATAGGTGATTGTTTTAAATTACTATTTTTATAAAGTAGCAAATAGAAACGATACTAATCTGTTTAATGTTTCTGCACCACGCTTCGCAGTTTTAAAAACAGTAGTACAAAGTCAAACTACCGAACGACCTAGGAAAAAAAAAACAAAAATTAATACACAGTAATAGAAATATTGTATACTTATTGGTTATTAGTGAAGCAACTAAACGCAGACTAATGATATTAATTGCATTTCTACTATTTACAAGTTGCAAGATCAATTATTTGTTTTAAGGTTATAATGTTATTAATTACGTTATGATTTTATGAAAGAATGCCACGTATTATGGTTATGAATATGATATTGATTGTGATTAATTCGTTAAATGACTGTGTGTGATTAAAATAATAATAAGATTTGCTAATCAATCACTATCTACGCATTATTATGCAGTACTACGCAGTACACTATGGAATCACGCATATATATACTATGACTGCAAATAACTAATGAAGTAAATGGCAATAACCTTTTATGGTTTGTAATGAAAATGATAATTACATGAATGGTAATTATGATGGAATGATTATGATAATGGAGAAGTTAAAGTGAAGATGATATGAGGATGGATGTGTAAAGATAAGATAATGGAACGATCTCACGGTCTTTATGCACTATCCATATAGGTAATCCTCTTCTTGTTCTTCTCTTAGTGCGTTGTAAGACCCGTAGAATTCTGGTCGGAAGACTAAACAGCAACGTTGAAGTGCGCAGTTGAAAGAAGCCAGTGCGCAGTTGAATGAAGCCAATGCGCCGTTGAAAGAAGCCAGTGCGCCGTTGTTAGATGCTGCTTGCGTCGCAATAAAATTCCAGTCGTCCAAGTAGTGGTTGAAGGACCAATTTGGAGGCGTCAGGGAGTGAAAGAGTGGACTGTTATAGATTCTCCAATGCGTTTATTACTAGAACTTTATATTACAACGCTTTAGCCCGACATTAATAATACGGAACGCTATGAAAATAAACTAAAGATGCGCGTGCGGTTGATACGGCGTTAAAAATCAGTGTGTCGCTGTGTGCGGCCGGCAGCCGGCCGCAGCTATATTGTCCGACGCCCCGCGCCCCCGGACATCATCCCCGCTTGGGACATCATCGCGCTCGCTGTTCATGCTGTGTTTACTATTTTGTGTGTTATTTATGCTGTGTTTGGGTTACTTTAATCTGCCCTCTATCAAGCAGTTCATGAAGGAAGTGTCTCGACGCTACTTCGACTCTGCTCAATCTCACTTGAAACCTCTTATAGTCAGTATAGTCGACGCACCGAGGAGACATATCCTACATACGCGACAACGTCGCCCGTGGCACGTTCTCTTTGATCCCGACGACCCCATAACGGTAGTTAACAGCTCTACGGGTCCATCCGTTCTATCCCGACAACACATTTACACACACACATGACACCGTCCTCACCGGCGAAAACAACGACCTCAAACACACCATACCGCGCAATCAACCGGGCGCCTGCGCCTGGCCGGGCGCCCTTCGTAGCGGTGCCCTCAAATTAAAGTCGTATCCGTCAGGCGGGAGTTGGCCTTCAGCGGCTTTATAAGTCCTACCGTGGGTTTTTTAGTGCCATCTGTATTCGAACCCTATCATCTGGTGAAGCTGTAAAGGCCAGCTACAGCTGACAGCATTAGAGTAGTCAAAAAAAAAAATTCAATATGTGGCGATTCTACGGATAGCCTCGGAGGTGCATAGGGTTTCTGTAAAATTACCTCCTTTCAGGTCTGACCGTCCGGCATTGTGGTTCGCGCAGGTTGACGCAAATTTTGAACTATCTGGAATCACCGCTGATTCCACTAAATTTAATTATATTATCAGTAATTTGTCACAAAGCCAGGCTGCTGAGGTAGAAGATATAATCATCAAACCACCCGCGGAAGACAAATACATATTTTTTTTTTTTTTTAAAGCCGATTTAATCCGCAGACTATCGGCATCTGAGGAAAAAAGAGTCCGGCAGCTTTTAAGTGATGAGGAGCTGGGGGATAGGCGACCCTCACAATTTCTGAGGCACCTCAAGTCTCTCACGGGGGACTCACTTCGTGACGACGAAGGCATACTTCGCCAACTTTGGATGCGTCGCCTCCCCACTCATCTTCAGACCATATTAGCTGCACAGGATCTTCCATTAGAGAAGGTAGCGGATCTAGCTGACCGCATTATGGAAGTATCTCCTGCAACACCACTTGCTAGTTCCACCTCAGTTGCTGGTATATCACCTCAGCCTATTACATCATCTTCAAGCGTCGACCCATTTGCCATTCTTTCTCAGCGTATCGACCAACTCACAGAGCAGGTAGCTTCATTGACAGCCTATCAGAGACAGGGAAGTCGGTCCAGGTCTCGGACTCCACAATCACGTCAAAGTCGCAGTAGGAGCCCTCAACCTAGGACATGTTGGTACCACCGTACATTTAAAGAGAAGGCGCTACACTGTACTACTCCTTGTAACTGGCAGCACGATTCATTTTTAAACACGAACGGGAGTCAGTAAAGGCGACGACCGACTCCACTCATCCCACTTCAAGCCGCCGTTTATTTGTAACAGATTCATACAGTAAGCGACGATTTCTCGTAGATACAGGTTCCGATATCTGCTGCTATCCTAAAAGCGCCCTTCGTTCCCACGCCTATAAATCTGACTTTGTGCTGCAAGCAGCCAATGGCAGTGCTATTACGACGTACGGTACTCTGCGTTTCAATCTCAACCTAGGTCTTCGACGAGTTTTGCATGGGATTTCATTATAGCTGACGTCAGCGTTCCTATCATCGGCTCCGACTTCCTCGGTCATTACAATCTCTTGCCAGATTGTACCCATAGATGTCTAGTCGATGGAACAACCGGTCTTCGTCATCAGATTCAGTGCGCGTCATCTAATTAGCCCAGCGTCAAGACCATTATTAGTGATTCTAAAGACTCACCCTTTCTAACAATTTTACAGGAATAACCGGAACTCACTCGTCCACCCGGTCTTCGTCGCGATGTTGAACATAATACAGTGCATTTCATTAACACTACTGACGGACCGCCATTATCATGCCGTCCTCGTCGCCTTGCTCCCCAGAAACTTCAGATTGCCCAAAAAGAATTTGCCGACATGGTTGCTGCCGGTACTGCTAAACCATCCAGCAGTGCCTGGTCTTCACCACTCCATTTAGTTCCTAAAAAGGATGCCACTTGGAGACCTTGTGGTGACTACAGGGCCTTAAATGCGCGCACTATTAGTGATAGATATCCGGTTCGGTACATCGGGGACATTTCACACAATCTGGTAGGAGCCACCATCTTCAGTACAATTGATCTGGTAAAAGCCTACCAGCAAATTCCTGTCAATCCAGCTGATATATGCAAGACAGCCATTACCACTCCTTTCGGACTATTCGAATTTCCCTACATGACGTTTGGTCTCAGAAACGCTGGTCAAACATTCCAGCGTTTCATCGATGAGGTCACACGGGGACTTACTTTTTGCTTTCCATACATCGTCGATGTCCTCATCTACTCGCGCGATGCCGCTCAGCACGCAGAACACCTCCGACTGCTTTTTCAACGTTTAGCTCAATACGGAATCGTCATCAATTTGCCATTTGCAATTGCCAAATGCAAGTCCGGTGTTCCAGAAATTACATTCTTGGGCAGTCACATTTCATCAGCAGGTACACAACCACCACCAGATCGTGTCGAAACCATCAGGAATTTTCCCTTACCTGAAACAGCTCATGGCCTACGACGGTTATTGTTGCTCCTAATGTTGTTGATTTCATTGGTATAACTTCCAGCCATTTTGTATAAGCATCTATTGCTATAAACCACATGTACCCGAGACATGGTCCCGCAAAATCTATATGTAATCTATGCCATGGTTCAGGCGGCACTCCCCAAGGGTACACCGGTGCAGAGTTAGTGTTGGTTTTCGAAGATTGGTAGAATTTGCAATGTTTCGAAAAAATTTGAATATCTTTGTCTATGTTTGACCAGTGCAATCTTGCCAGTGACTGCATAGCATTTACCCCATTATGTCCTTCATGTAATATTTCTAGTATGACTGATTGTAATTTTTTTGGTATACATAGTTTTCAGTTCCATAGGATAATTCCATCTTCAAATGACAATTGTTCTCGTTTCTCGAAGCAAGTATGGATTTTTATTGGTAGTTCTTTTTTTCCGGCCAATAACACTGGTTAACAAAATTTTAACTTTTTTTTGTCACATGAAAACTTATATCAAATTTTGAAAGTACTAGGGCCACTAAACAATAATATGTGAATGAAAAAAAATGTACACGTCAGGTTTTGCTGTGACATCAAAACATATATTTTCATATATTTTAAAAAATACAAACATGAGCTACATTTAGAGAAATTATAGCTTAATATAGAAAAAATACTTATGATTTTCGTGAATATTTGGCTTCTGGAAGGTCTTTTTTTAAGTCTCCAATGGTAATCTGCTAGCATTCCTGGGCAGTTCCCTTGATAGCGCTTCTCCATTAAGGAAATGTCCTGATGGAACCTTTCGCCTTGTTCGTCCCTCACAGCACCCAAATTTGCCGGAAAGAAATCCAGATGAGAGTCCAGCATATCGCACGTCACAAACAATAGGGTATTATCTTGAAGAAACCCAAAATTTTTTTTTTCGTGATTGAGAAACTAGATTTTTTTTCTCTACAAACTGGCAAGACAATGTTATTTTTAGCGTACGTAGTTCCAAAGATATGGCAACACATTTCTTTATTGCCTGTTCACTCGTTTCATTAACGCTCCAGTCAAAACAATCGCATTATTGTTTACTCAGTTGCCGTTCAACATACACGGTCATCAGACATTTTTTATTATTTCATTGAATTAGTGCTAATCGGTAGTTTGTATTCACACACTTAAACTTAAATTGTAAGTAAGAATAAATTATTTAAAAGAGCAACACACAAGTTTCTTGCTTGTTCTTCTTGTGATAAGACAGCATTCCGAATGAGCGGTAGATTAAAAAAAAAAAATGTTATGACTATTCAAAAGTGCTTCAATGTAAGTTTATTTGAATAAATGATTTTCTATTCTATTCTATTCTATTCTATTCATCTTTTTCTCGAGATACAGCTAAATCACTGTTAAATTTGGCATGCAAACGTAAAATGTAAGTATTTTATAGAATATTATAATGACTTAATATCCTATTGCTTGTCATATCTAGCACGATTTACTATGTTATCTAGAAATAATATTCTATTGGTTGTTAGGTTTTAATAGAGATATAATTTTTACCGAAATTATATCTAAATGATATTTTATAGCCATCTACTTGTTAGAAATAATATTGTATTACGCGGTAATAGTTGTTCAGTGACCGACTATTATATGATATATTACTTTATTCTTTGGCATTTATTTTTACTTTTATTTAAAATTTTAGATTAACTCAGAATTATGAAGAAAATTAATATAACAGAAAGAATGCTGAGGACAGTGCTATGATCATGAGAGTACTTCTGATCACTCCAAAGACGAGAATGGTGATCCTTTCGCCAATAATGATGACATTAATGATCCAACGTAGATTTTCGAAAAAAATAGTCTTTCTAAATCTTGTACGTCAATATAATACATAAGGGAGTCATCAGACCTGCGAATATATCTCCTGTTCTTCGGAAATCTTCTCAGCATGTAATAAATCCCTGTGCTTTGATAATGAACAGTCCTTTATTTGAGAGTTTCACAATACTACCTAAAAAATATTAAAAATATACAAAATTGTTGCTATTAGAACATTATCTGCTGTGATATTATAGGTTTTATCTCTCAACGATACGTTGAGAGATAAAACCTATAATATCACAGCAGATAATACTCTAATAGCAACAATTTTGTCCGATATAAGCAATCATACAATATGCCTAGGATTCCTCTGTATTCCTCATTTCAACAAATTTTATTTGGATAATGACTCTACATAACACAAACCATGTACGACAGGTTCTAAGAATATGAGTACCATGAGAGTTACTAAAACAATGAAGGTAATTTCCAAGAGGAATCTAAAACTAGGTTAATAGCATATATCTATGCAGGAAATAAATATAAAATTAAGAGTATCACTCACAAATTTTTGATAAAGGAACATACACAAATGGAAGGTGATGCTGTCCACTCTACAATAGAAAAGGGCATCAAAAGATCTTTAAAATCTGGTCTTATTTACAGCCCTCTAGAATATTTAAAACCGCTAAAAGAAATCCTCCGTATTATATGATACATAAATTATAGTTTAACGACTTCTATGACAAAAAAATGTGCGATATGATTGAAATTATTATTCCAAAACAACAGATAATTTTAATATAAAACAAACGTATATAAAGATAATACAAATAATCATCTTTATAATTAAGAAAATATGAAACTGATTTCCATAGTTTCCAAAATTAGTTAAAATTAGTAGTCATAAGCAAAATGTAGACTGAAGAATTTGCTTAGAACTATACAGAAGAAATATATTTTGTTCAATTAACAAAATATATTTTTTCTATATTATTTAATATGTTATATTTACACACCTATTGGTGATAATATTATTACTTTAATATTAATTATATTTTATAATACCAACTATGTTAATTTTGTAAGTGCTAAGAAAATAGAACTGATGAGTCAAGAAGACGATGACATAAGAATTGATGAGTCTGATTATTTGTAAAATTTAGACTAAACTAAGTTTTAATTTTAAAACCATTGCCAAAGTGATAATTGGTTTTGTTACATTGTGAGTCTTGTTTTAATTGATTTTTGTTTTGTTTGTAGGATTATCTACTTTTATTATTTAATAAATTGAATTACTTTATTTCTTCCGTTCCTATCCTATCCTATACTGTGATTATTAGAGATTAGTCTAACTAATTAGATTATAATTGATTCCCATTACTAAATTTTAAAACAAAAATTGATTGTTTATGCCGTTACATCAATTTCATATACTAATAAATCTGTATAATTATAATTAAGTGTTTTTTTTGGTTCAGTTAATCTCATTTTTAAATGTGAAAATCTCATATTTTATTCTTTTAGTAATATATTATTTCAAATTACTACTTGTAAATATACGATTATAACACATTTCGTTCGCGTTATACAATCGCGACTCGGTCATTGCGGCGATTTGAACTGGTTATACAATACTATCTTCACCCGACCTTATAAAATCACTTATAAAATAAAAACTATGCCTTGTAGCTACTTCATTTCTTACAAAAATAAAGTAGGATAATGTCCCGTCAAATAGGTATATAAATTAGAACATTTAAAACCATATTCAAGGAGCTATGAATTTTCAAACTTTCAAAACGCGATATCTCAAAACACTGTTTTTGTACATAATACACTATTGTTTGTGACGTGCGATATGTATTTTTAGGGACATATTACACCTCAAAGCTTTATATGACATTAAAAGTTCATTTATTAAGTCTTTGTAATTTTCCGATTTATGGTTTCTTAGAAAATTTT